CTTGACAATGACTTTTTGCAATTGCTATAGCACTTCACAAAACAGTCTTTCCTATGGGCAATTTTTGCTGGACGATGTTTCAGTCCATGCTTCGCAAGACAGATTTTTTCCCGGGACCGATGCTTCGCAAGATGACGATTTTCACAGATAGGCCTGTGACTTACAACATGAGTGTTTTTGGCACTGATGCTTCACAAGACAGCGATTCTAACAGCTGATCGGCGCTTCGCAAAATGGCTTCCCTATGGGCGATTTTTGCAAAATGACGACGATTTTCCCCATTGGAACGCATTAAATGGATTTCAAAGCATTTCAATGGGGAAATGCTTTTCGCAAGATGATGTTTTCACAAGACAGCGATTTCAATGGACCAGATTAACATCGTCTTGCGGGGCACCACTGTATATCTATCTATTTCTCTACCGATCAATATGCATTACAAAATTATGCATAATTTACTACAACTCCTCTTTGCTTCTCAGACACAGCAAAAAAACAAAAACAAAAACCAGCACTAGTTGTAGTAAAAGTTGTCACGTCGAAGCAGCTCTCAAATTTCCATGCATTTTTAATGGGAGCCATTTTATTCCAGATTGCCTGTGACTGTCCTCTATTTTAAAAGATGGGCCATAAATTCCAAACTGCTCGCTAGAAACCAATTTGCATCCTGCAAGATCTCTATCTAGGAAGTGAACCTGGCTGGCCTCAACATCATCAGCCATGTCAATTTGGGATATTAACAACAGCACATAAGTTCAGAACTACCCACAAGGACTTGATGCACAGCCTTGAAGAAGATGATTTATCATTGAAAGCTGCCGTTTGCTTTTTGGGTTTTTTTGTTTCATGATGCTTAATGGTCAATTAAAGGTATCACCTGTTCCTGCATTTGTATCATTTTATTCCAGACTCCCATTATTCATCTTGTTCCTCAGAATAAGATTTATGCTTCAATCAAATGTACTTGGAACCTTTATGATGTGCGCTATACAATTGCACCAACTTTGCTATTGCTTTAAGGTCACGGTCCCATTATAGGAAATTTTTAGGTTGGTGAAACACTTAGAATACTCTGTTAGAGAGCTTTAGCAGACTCACTTAAATTACAGTATCCTGTAAAGAGTGACTGAGGATTGAAACAGTTTTTTAAAGCAAAAAAAAAAAAATCTGCTTCTTATATACTGCCCCATAAGCCTTAAAATCACTCTGGGTGGTCTACAATGTAATTATGCAGGTTACACATACCTATCCTCTGCAAGCTGGGTAATCAGTCTATTGACTTTAGAAGGATAGAAGGCTGTCAGCCTTGAGCCTGCTACTTGAGCCCATTGGGATTGAACTCAGGTTGTGAGCAGTTTTTTGAATGCAACACTGCGGCACCATGAGCCTCATTTCTGTGATTTGTCCCTCTGTTCCTTTCTTAAGGGCATCTTGGAAACCATAGTTAAGGAGAATGCACTACAGCTCTCCAGCAAAATAAAATAAAATGTCTATCACCAAAGTACAAATCTACCAACTAACCCTCTGTTAAAGTGATCCAACTTTAGAAACAGCACAACTGATGCTATTCTTGTCGCTTATTCCAGAGACAACAGCCATTGATCACAATGGGTGCTGCACAATAATAGTCCTGAGAAGGCCCACTGCCGCCATAAGTACATCAATAATTTATGCATGCATGTATAATTTCTTCCTCCGTACTTTAAAGGTCAGACTCCATGTGATGTGACAGATCCATCGTGTGCTTGCTAAAAAGGTGTCTCCTAATATACTTTTTTTGAAGTGCAAAGCCACTGCAGAGAATGGGAAGTAACTTAGGGCAGCAGAACTCTGTGCTACTACACCATTTTGCTGGGACCTTCCCCATGCCATGCACACCATGACGAACAGTAAACTTGGATTTCAACTGGAGAAACAGAAATGTGAGGAATCAACTGTACACCTTCATTCTCAGTACTACCGCCCTGATCCAATTTGCATGCGTTTGCAGTTTTTAAGAGAAGAATGTTGGGAAATTCAATCGCCCATCTCACTGTTTTCACATACCTTTGCCATAAATCTCCTTTAGCTTTCACATGGATGGAGAGCAAGAAAGATGCTCTCAAGATGATGCATTTATGAAACCATTTTTTCTTGAGTTCTTACATGACGCCTGGAATACACTCCGCCAAAATGTCAATGGTAGAAGAAAGAGATCCCTCCTTTCTCAGCACCTCTTGCTTATGCAACAACAACAACAAAAAGACTTCTCTCTTTGGAGTACACATAATGTATCCATTCATTCTAGGAATGCTTTGTTCCTAGTGACTCTACTCCCCAGAGGTGGGGAGGGGGGGAAAGGATTATGAAAGTCTAATGAGTACTGTGCAGTTACTAATTAAGTTAGCACCCTGAACTATGAAGCTATCCAGAAAGAAAGAAAGAAAAGTTACACAGTGGTTGACGTTCTATCCACATTTTATCCAGCATTCGGATTTGCTGTGGATATCTTCCTGATAACACAGAACATATCTGCTAACCAGGAAAAGACTAAAAAGAGATGTACACTGAAATAGCTGTTGGATTTTAAAATTATTGCACATCAAGGTGAATCACTGAAGATTGTCTCATAGCATCATACTGGTGTTCAAGTGGTAGAGTATGATTTTGTGTTTGAAAAGCACTGCAGCATCTTTCTAACTTACTTGGTAAAGTGAGAATATCCTGTGAGTCACCCCATAGATCCCACATATTCAACAAGACTACTAGGTGAGTGTATACAGAATTGCTATCTTAAGACCAAGTCAAAAGAGTAACTTTCTGGGTCAAGAAGGATTAATTGTGACAGCTATAGCTTGTTTTAAGTGAGTCAGAAATAATGATAAACTATGATTAATCCATGTCATCAATGAGGCATGATAAGCTTTGGGCTTGTTTCTCGCTTCCCCTCTCTTCCTTCAGGTCAAACATGCTTCCATGTTTGATTACGAGTAGCTTGTTGCTTTTTCCAAAACCAACAACAGCTGTAATCTTCTGTACATCTTACTTGAACAAGCTAACTCAAAGCTATGGGTCATGAAACCAATTTGTTTCCACTAACCATGATTAAGATGAATCACATTTTAGTACAAAAAGTTAAATCACTATTAATAAAAGATGAAAACACTAGGTTTTTCCAAGCCTGACAAATCTTACCAATCCTTTGCATGGAAAAGAAAAAGTCAACTTTAAACTTTATAACTTGCTGTATGAACTAACCAGGGTTAGGAGTAACAATATGTTTGTACAATGGGTAAACTGTAGTTAGTTAGAAATTATCCATGTTTAGTTTAGACTTCAAGCCATAAGTTACTGAGCAGACTTATTTCAACTAGCTATGGCTAAATCAACAAGACAACACATTAGATTGGAGTTGATTTAAAAAATGGAATCGCTCCTCTCTTCAACTTACAGGTGCACTGGAGAAAGACTGCAGAGAGTTTAAGTCTTAACAAGCTCAACATTCTTTATACAATACTAATTCCACTGTAAATTTAACTGAAGTTCAATACTGGTTTTAGGTAGATTATATACTTTTCAGAGACTTAAACATGGCAACAGATGAAGAGTCGTGAGTCTGTTGCTTTAGCTGTTTTCAACATGGAGTTCAGTGAATCTACAACTCTGCTTCCCCCATATCTCTCCAAGGAATAGATGCAGACCTTTTCAGAATGTGGCCTGTCTCCCTCTGTGAGTAGAACATGAACAGCATAAAGTGCACTGTGAGCAATTGTTAAAATCTTTTTCAAGCAACTTTGCTTGCATGCCTATATGGAATGACATTCTTGGTTTTAATTCACAGTAAGCCTCAATATAAATCACATAGCTAACAGCTTATGAATAAGTGTTCTTGGTTCAAAGGGAAACCAAAATACCACCTCTTCTGAGAAACAAAGCATCAGTTCAGAAGTGAGTTAATGGGTTTGCTTCCCCACCCCCAACCCTACATTACAGCTTTGTTTCTCAGTGCATGATGTGTGGGCTTAACATGCATGATAAAACCCATATACTTACAAGGAAGATTTATTAGTGGAATGAGAAGTCCTTGGGGTTCTTTCTTTGATGGCCTGCTTTGGAGGCTTCCAATGATGTGGAATGCTTTTTAAAACATATTAACAACATTTCAACCCTTTATTCCAACTGGATGTGGATTCCTCAAAAATAATATCATTTGTCCATATCCCTGACATGCCACGTAAGCACACTCAGAACAGAAATTAGTAACTGTTCAGGAGTTAAATCCCAATTACACAGACCATTCTCGAAGTGTGGTGGTCAGTTTTGTCTTGATTCAAGCAACAGAAATCTGTGCATAGAAATAGCTTTCCACACATATATCACTATATTGTAAGTACAAGCCAAGGAAGACAGAAAAAAAATATTTCTAGTAACTAGCCTATGCTCCTGGCACATTTAATCACCCGTTAGCGGATCTAATCTGTCAAGGGGTAGCTAAGCTTCAGAAGAACAGAATCAGAATTGAAGATGACCTTAACAGAATGAAGAACTGGTCCAAAACAAACAAAACAAGTTTCAACATACAAAAAAAGCATATTTACAAATATATGATAGGTGACAGCTGGCTTAGCTGCAGTGTCAGCAGAAAATATCTAGAAAGTCTTAGCAGACCACAAGCTAAACATAAGTCAACACTGTGATGCAACAGAAAAGCAAAAAACCAACATCCCCCCCAATACTCAGAAGCATCAATGAAAGCACAGTGCCCAGGTCAAGGGATAACAGTATAACTCTGTCTTGTTTGGTCAGAGCCCATGTGGAATACTCAGCCCAATTCTGGGTACTTCAGTTTAAGAAGGATATTGACAAGCTAGGATGGTGGCCCTGACACGAAAAGTCTGCAAACCATACTCTATGAAGAACAGTTGACGGAATGGAAGTTGAATGCAATATGATCACCATCAAGCTATTTGAAAGGTTATCATGCAGAAGATGCAGCAAACTTGCTTTCTGTCGTGATTTACCTCAATAAACAAAAGTCAGAGTCCAATAAGCCAGTTCAAGGCCAGAAGCCAGAGAATCAGTCAGAACCAGCAGTAATCATGTTGGAGTCAAGGAATCACAAAGAGAAGTCCGGGTTTGGTTCCAAGGGTCAAGATAGCTCCAGGAAATATCAAAGCAGGTTGCAAGTTAAGACAACAGTTGTTTCTTGCCCCAATTCATCATGGGAGCCTACCTTATATGGGGAGCCCATGCCTTTACATGGCTCTCAGCTGGAGTCCTTAGCTAGGATCCTTCAGTAATTACACCTTGGTTTAAGCTGAGCCGTTAACTGAAACACTACACTTTCTGTGGCTCCAGAGGGTCTGATTCAAACAACAGACTCCAATCACAATTTCTTCTAAATGTCAGTAAGAACTGTTTGACAGTCCAATGGACTAGTTCAGAAGATGGTGGACTCTCCCTTCCTGGGCCATTTAAACAAGAAATTGGATGGTCACCTGCCAGTGATGTTTTAGCTGTGGATTTCCTGTTGCATAAGGAGAATGGACTCTATGTCCTTTGGGCTCTTTTCTAGCCTTTTCCAGCTCTACAGAATCTATGATTCTATAAGGGCCTCTACATTGAAAAGGTTCAATTCATTCCTATACCGATACATAAACTGTTGATGGCATACTTGCAGTTCTGATAGGAGCTCTAGCTTGCCACTCTGACTGACTGCAAAGCCATGGACACCACTTGTTTCCTGCATTGTCTTAACTGGTTCAGAGGAAGTGAGATAGTCAAACAACAAAGCCAAACTCCTCTTGGCCACCTAAATAGCACTGATATCTGAACCTGCTAGCGTAATCCCTTTAGCTGTCTTTAATATGAGTTGATTGCAGTTGATTCTTACTTGTTAGAACCTTGGGCCTCCAGATGTTCTTGGACTACAACTCCCAGAAGCCTTCACCATCACCTCTGCTGGTCAGGATTTCTGGGAGTTGAAGCCCAAGAACATCTGGAGGCCCAAGGTTGGGGACCACTGGATTAGAAGATGCAATCTTATCTTTTCCCTCAATTCCAGCCTCTTAATGGAACAACTATCACAAACTAGTACAGTAAAACGGTTCAAAAACTAAACTGATACATCCAGATTGGTGTCACAGACAGAGTGCTACAGAGCTTTCAGAAAGCCTGGGTTCAAATTCCTACTCGGCCAAAGAAACTCATGAGAGAGTTGGCAACGTTTAAAGTTTCCCAGAGAAATTAACTTAACTCAAAAACCCTATAAGAGTTGCATAAATCAGGAAACAGTTTTATGGCACATAGTGTATCATTAAGCTGGGACTTGGCATGAAATTTACTAGCTGACTCTCAGTCTCTCTCTCTTCTTCAGCAATACTTACCTCATAGAGGTTCTGAGTATCAAGTGGAAGTGGGGAACCACATATATACTACCCTAATAATTAATAAATATAAACTTGTCGTTGTTTGGTCATTAAGTCGTTTCCGACTCTTTGTGACCCCATGAACCAGAACACGCCAGGCCCTCCTGTCTTTCACTGCCTCCCGAAGTTCGGTCAAAGTCATGTTGGTAGCTTCGATGACATTGTCCAACCATCTCGTCCTCCATCATCCCCTTCTCCTCTCACCTTCACACTTTCCCAACATCAGGATCTTTTCCAGGGAGTCTTCTCTTCTCGTGAGATGGCCAAAGTACAGTATTGGAGCCTCAGCTTCAGGATCTGTCCTTCCAGTGAGCACTCAGAGTTTATTTCCTTCAGAATGGATAGGTTTGATCTCCTTTCAGTCCAGGAGACTCTCCAGAGTCACCTCCAGCACCACAATTCAAAAGCATCAATTCTTTGGCGGTCAGCTTTCTTTATGGTCCAGCTTTCACTTCGATACATCGCTACAGGGGAAACCATAGCTTTGACTTTGTTGGCAAGGTGATGTCTCTGCTTTTTAAGATGCTGTCAAGGTTTGTCATTGCTTTCCTCCCAAGAAGCAGGCGTCTTTTAATTTCGTGGCTGCTGTCACCATCTGCAGTGATCAGGGAGCCCAAGAGTAAAATCTGTCACTACCTAGCCACCTAGAGTGGTCTTTTAGACCAGATGGGCGGGGTATGTATAAATAAATAAATAAATAAACAAACAAACAAACAAATAAATACCTCCATATCTTCCCCTCCTATTTCACAGGAGGTGATGGGACCAGTGGCCATTTTAGTTCACTGATGCCCAGGATATCAATGTTTATTCTTTCCATCTCCTGTTTGACCACATCCAGCTGCCCAAGTTTCATAGATCTTACATTCCAGGTTCCTATCCAGTATTTTTCTTTGCAGCATCGGACTTTCCTTTCACTTCCAGGCACGTCCGCAGCTGAGCATCCTTTCGGCCTTGGCCCAACCACTTCATTAGCTCTGGAGCTACTTGTACTTGTCCTCTGCTCTTCCTCAGTAGCATGTTGGACGCCTTCCGACCTGAGGGGCTCATCTTCCAGCATCATATCTTTTAGCCTTTTGTTTCTGTCCATGGAGTTTTCTTGGTAAAGATACTGGAGTGGCTTGCCCGTTCCTGCTCCAGGGGGATCACATTTAATCAGAACTCTCCATTATGACCTGTCCGTCTTGGGTGTCCCTGTACGGCATAACCCATATCTTCTCTGAATTATTCAAGCCCCTTCGCCATGACAAGGCAGCAATCCGTGAAGGGGAAACATAAACTACTCCATATTAAATCTCACTGCTGTACATGGACTAATGACAGAAACAGCAGCATGAGGAGAAGGATATCCGTAGAGGTGATCACTACAAAAAAAATACAGTATTCATGTGACCAGTTCAAGTGCCAGCTGCAAGACAATGAACACCACAGTTTACCACACTGACATTGTGATAAAAAGCCTGATGAAAGGTATAGGTGAGAAAAGTGGAAGATTCTTGTGGATTTATTGCATAAACCTATCATTTCTTTTAATTTGTGCTAGGCTAGTACACCACTGAAGAACAGCCTCCCAGATAAATTTTCCAATTAAATCCACTCAAAAATGTATTGCAGTGTGAGCAAATCAAATTTAACTAGGCCATGTTAAGAGGCATAACGGTTAGAATATGGAATTAACATAATCAATTACACCCAACGGTGCCACAGTTCATTGCTTATATACCACTTCCATCATTTGGTTGCTGCCTAGTGGCTGACTTCTGATGCGTCATGCAAGCCGCTCACAGTAAGTGGGTGTAAAAGAAATTAAAAAATTAATGTTTAGTGTTACTGCCTGTGAATGAAATCGAATTATCAATACAAACTAAAATTGAATAAATCACCCTAAGTTAGCACTAATGCAAGTCCAACTGATTCAATGGGGTTACTCTGGTTAGGACCAACAAATTAATTTAGCTCTCTATTCTCGAAGGCACAGAGTTCTGACTCCTGTCCTCTGAAGATGCCGGCCACAGAGACTGGCAAAATGTTAGGGAAAAAACCCTCAAGAACACGGCCAGACAGCCAAAAAAACCTACAACCATAATTTAGCTCTCTTTGTGCACACTGCATGCTCTTAAAATGTCATTTTCTTTTTTACCTATACTGAACATATCTCACAAGCTGTTGTTTCTTACTGTCTCCCTCTTGTAATCTGCAACAGAAGGGCAGACTGTCTTGCTAAATTTGGATATCCATGGATACCTATAATATTTTTCTCTGTTTAAGCTTGGCAATTTAAAATTGTATGGAAAAGAAAAATACATTTCATCACAGGACGCAAGCCTGCTCTTTTGATTTATTGAAATATAATAACTGTATGAAACACTGCATTCTTGGTTTAAGGGAAAAAATGCTCCTGAACTGTTCGATAGCTCCGGGGTTTACATCTCTGGCTGTGCAGCCAGAGGTTGAGAGTTCAATTCCCCATTGTGCCTCCTTGACAGGGGCTGGATTCAATGATCCATAGGGTTCCTCCCAGTCTGTACTTCTAAGAATGTTATATTATATTATACTATGTTATATTATATTAAAAATACAGTAAGAGGTTTTCAAGGGCTACAAGTAACTGCTTTGATTTTGACTCCCTGCCTTGTGTGTGTTTTTACTTCTAAGGGGAGGAAGCAAAACTTCAAAAGATGTACATATTTTCACCGCCATTCTTCTGGATGTTCCATCTTGCAGCTTGAATTTTTCGCACGTATACATTACTGAAACAGTGATGTCTACGTTGGCCTGGGCATGTCTTGAGAATGGCTGATGGTCGGATTCCAAAAGATCTCCTGTATGGAGAATTAGTGCAGCAAAATCGCCCCAGAGTGGAGACCACAGCTGCAATACAAGGATATCTGCAAGTGGGATCTGAAGGCCTTAGGAATGGACTTCAACAGATGAGAAACCTTGACATCTGAGCGTTCAGCCTGGAGGCTGGTGGTGCATCATGGCCTCTCCCAATTTGGGAGGCCGACGCAAAGAGGCAATCCCAAAACCTGCAAAATCAGGGAGCTGGACAGGGAACAGACTGTATTTGTCTTCAGTGTGGAAGGGATTGTCACTCTCAAATTGGCCTTCTCAGCCACACTAGGCACTGTTCTCCATTCAGAGCACGTTACCATAGTCTCTCAAGACTGAAGGATGCCTAATCTTCTGGATGTAAATACTGATAAAGGTTGATGGGAGTGGCAGTAGATGGAAAATGAAATATTTTTCACTATAATCACTGAAAGCATTGGCAAGATCAGGAAAACGTAAACTATGTTTCATTCAAACTTAAGTAATTATCCGATAACTGCTTGTTCAGTTTACTTGTTGCTCTCACCCATAAAAAGAAAGACTAAGCAATGCAACAGGTGAGAAGTTTAAACTGTGCCATACTGGCAGACATAGCATGCATAAGCAGAAGTGTGGTATTTGTTGGACATCCTCTTCCTGTGTAGTAATTTGAATTTCTGAAGAACAGAATTTCCACATTCATCCCATGGACAGTCTTCCTTCATTCCTTTCTCTCTGTGGGGATTCCCCCTACTGTTAAGCTTCACATCCTGACTTTCAGCTGCTAGACACTATATAGCAGCTGTTTTTGTAATCACGTTATCTCAGATAAGAGATTAACAATTTTCAGCTTTTTAAAAGAAAGCAGGAAAATTCTGCAATATGCACCATTTCCTCATGTTTGAGGGACTGACG